TAGCCTCTAATTAAAATTTGAGCACTCTAAGCTAATCAGCAGAATGTGGTTACAATTGCAATGGACAAAAAAAAAAAAAAAAAAAAAAAAAAAAAAAAAAAAAAAAAAAAAAAAGACATATTTTGGCTGCAGCTAGAAAACATTTAAAACTTGAATTGTGATCTAGTGCACAGAGTGCTAATTAAAAGAGTACTTTAGTTTCACAATAGTCAAATTTTGATTGTAGATAAATTTGGTACCATGAAATATAAAGAGGTAAAAAAAAACAATAGAAATTTCTATTGCCTTCAAGTGCAGATCTCCAGTTAAATTTTAAGCAAGTCCGAAAGTTAGTTGGTATTAAATTACCATATGACAGCATATTTTGCTCATAGTGATCAAGAAACTATTGAAACGTATTGTCAAAACTGTTATTATAAATTCTATTTGGTGACACATTCCGCATGTTGCAGTCAGGAAAAGATAGAAACTTTCATTGTCTCTAGGCACGGAGATCTAGTAGAGATATAAGTGCTCTACTTAGTCAAAATGTGATCGGAATTTTAATAATGGAATCAGAATTTTAATGCAATACTCAAGAATAAAGTGTACTAAATAAGTACACTTCAATTTTTAAAATAAAATATGAAGAAAAAAAAAAACAGGTTTGTTGATTTTTACCAGGAGAAACAGGTAAAAACCAATAGTTACTTGAAAATCCAGTAGAGCTGGCAGCTTTGCATGTAGTAATTGTTTTAAACCTTATTTGTGACCCAAAAATTATTTAAATTAAAATGATAGAAAATACTTGCTTCGAATGATTATTTTTAATTACACTTAATTAAGCAAAAATTTTAATTAACATTTCATTCAATTTTCTTTTTACTGAAACTTGCATATAATGTATCCTGCATGTGTATGGCTAACACAAAAGATATGAGACTTTTAAGACCCATTAACCAAGTGTAATGCAAAAATTAAAACAGGAAACACCTTTAACCTTTTGGCTACGGCAACAAAGATGAAAAATTCTCCTCTTACCACGGCGCTTTCTTACGGAAATTCTTCCCCCACTTAGTCAGTGGGAGGTAACTACTTTAAACAGTTATGAATAGGAAATATTTTGTTGCAATTTGTCCCTCAGGTTTCTTGGAGGGAGAAGATGCAGGGTTGTAGACCAGTAGTTATCTTTGGCATAGTTATTCATATTTTGGCTTACTTTTTTTTCTAATGTAGACAAAATAAATCTAAAACATAATTTTTTAAACGTTTTTTCTAAAGATATTAACAATTTCTCTAAAAAATAAGCAAGTTTTTTTTTATAAATTATTTAAAATTTCTATAATTTAATAACAGGGTGTTTATTAGCGAGCTTGATTCTTGAAGGATTATTAATAAACTTCTATAAAAGAAACCTTTATACATAATTTTTTTCTAAGTATATTAACAATTTCACTATAAGAGAAGCAAACATTCTACATATTATTCGAAATTTTTTTGTTTTTTTAAAACGTGTATTTTGATGTTCTTGATTCTTGAAGGATTATAAATAGACCGCTCCAAAAAAAAAAGAAAAAAAAATCTTAATACTTTGATAAATAGAACCTTGCTTGAAGTTTTACTCTTGTCTTAAAGTTATAAACAAATTTATCCTATTAGATATTGTTAAAAAAAGAAGCTTTCAAAACTGTTTGAAATGAGATGTGAATAAAGCAGTTAACGGCAGAATTTTTTTTATATATATATATTTTGAAAGTTTATTTCATTTATCGGTTTGAAAAGTGATACCAAATGCAAATTTTTATTATTCACATTTATTTAACTATTTTACTTGTTTATGTCCTTTAGGATCACATGAAGTACGCTCTTATAAAATTGAAAGCAAATATCATAAGAGATAAAAAATTATACTCATCATTAATATTTTTATTACATAAAATTAATTTTGAAGTATTGTTTTGTGGACAAAATTGAATAAGTTTAATGTTAATTATTTAACCCCTTTTAATAAACGGGATAATAATATGCAATAATATTTCGTATATAGAACTTATCATTTATTCATTTAAGTACATTATTTATTCCTCATTCTCGCACTTAATTATTAAAATATTCAGTTTTTTTTCCTTTTTTTAATAAAAAATACTGGTGACAAGAACAAACCAATGTAGCTAATACTTATGAGATTACGTGCGTATGACAGTTTCTGTGTATATAATTCTAATCAATTTCGTCTTTATTCTTTCTCTAATAGAAAATGAGCTTGTCATTTTTCGTAACAAAAATTCACGCCCCTCTTTGTCTAAAAATTTTATGTCACATTAAAAAATAATAAAATAAATTTAAAAAATAAAAGAAATTCTAAACAAAATTCTCGAGGATTTGATATTCTTAAAATTTCAATAAAGGTACATATTGTATGCTAAATGTTTCATTGCATCCAATATTATACATGGCTAAGATTTGATAATGCTTATTCTAAGATTTGATAATTTGTTTACAATATAATTAGAAGTTTTACTTATTTTTATTTCTGTTAAAAGCTGCAAAGTACAGTTCAAAAGAAAGCATCTGTTGATCTGAAATCTTTTTCAAATAATACATTAAAAATAGAAAGTTTCAAGTCATCTATCAGACACATCCACACAAGCTCGATTGACATACTGAATGCAAAGCATGCATTTACTTTGGTAATTGTGTGGTCCTTTCCTCTGGTGTCGGGAATTAGCTATTGTTAAAAATTTTTAAAATGACAGACCCCGAAATATATTATCAATATTTCTGAAGATAAATAAAGAGGCAGGAAATGCCTTTTTGACTGTGGAAGAAGCATTAGTGAAAGGTTGAAATGATTTCGATATCCTGTCTTTTTCAAAATAAGGGAAACAATTTATTTTGTGAGAAGTAAATTTACATTGTGGCAAGCTGTGAAGGCACGAGAAGAAATATTTCCTGGAAACTTAGAAAGAAAAAGATGTTTCTCAGACAATAGAACGGGGGACAGGCAGATTCTCAATAGTTAACATGTGGGTGGCATTTCGAGAAATAGAGATTATTTCATTGAGAGTATTCTTGTTGTTCAAGGTCACATATTAAAAACAATTTATTGAGAATAGATGTTCTCTCCTTGTTCCATAAACATAAAATTTTTTCCGTTTGCGCAATATTTTTTCCCCGAATAAATATTAAAAAATCGTGCATAAAAAACGATAAAAAATGTTTTAATTTCCTATCTATATTAACACAGTAGATTCTGAGTTTGACATTTACAATTAGATAATATCTTTACCTCTTTGAAATTGTATTTTATTCGTTTGAAAAGATGCGTGTGAGTTTTAACAATAACATGAATGAAATCGAAGATAATATATGACTGTTCTATGAATTTAGGTTCATCTTTTTTAGCAACTAAGCAATGCAATTATATTAGCTCTTTTCAATGGACTTGATAATCAAATAAATTTTCATTATATTTACTTCTGTAAATCTTAATTAGATTAAGATAATTATTTAAGCAAAAACGTGCGTAGACAAACATATCACTTCAAAAAAAGTGCAATAATCACTAGAAATATTGAAATAATAATGTATTTTTGCACACTATTATTTCAGGTTCAGTAGTAAAATTAAATATGGTCCTTAAAAATTAAATGTAATCTATAATTTATATTTTGAATTTATAAAAAAAGTTTCTGCACTTACAGAAATTACTGAAATAATTTTTTTAATTCATCTAATTTATTGAAAGCTTAGATAACTTTCAAAATATATTTTTATAGTTTGTACTATTTAAGTACTATTTAAGCAAAAGATTTTATAATCTATAAGAGTTTGAAAAGAAATAATTCTAATATATAATACTTTCATTTCCACAATGGCTTAATGTCATCTTGCTTTTTATTACTTACTTAAATGCAACAACTTTTCCTTATATATTTAAAGAAACATCGAATTTTCAACAAAGTTATTTTAAATAGAGGCATTGCTAATTTCTGATAAGTAAAACAAGTTATCTGATAATCTAATAAGCAATTTTTTTTTTTTTTAATATTTCCCTGTCTAACGAAATATTTTTCTGTGTGCTCTCAGAATGTGATTCCTGCTCCATCAAATTGACACAGTTAAACTTTGTAGTTTCAGAAATGCATAACCCTTTCAAATTAGCAGACACATTGATTTTATATTACAATATGCTTAATGTTACAATTTAAAGAAAATAATTTAAACTATTACAAAACAAAATGTATCAGTTAATTGGAGAAAAAAAAAGTGCTGAATACTTAAACAGATTTGATAATTTTTGTTACAAAATTTTTTATTCTAAAACATATTTATAAAACATAAGCTATATTCTTCTCAATAAAAATATTTCAATAAGAAAATAAAAGTTTCCAAGAATAAAATTTTTAGAAAAATCAGCAAATTTAAAATGATCCTTTTTTCAATTCTGAATGATATATTCAAAACACACACAGGGTTCACACGGTCCCTTAAAGTTTAAAAAGTGGTAGCAAAAGTATGAAAATTAAATGTGCTTGAATTAATTTATATTTACCAATACGCAAAATATTTTCCAATAAATATAATTAATAGTGAAATCAAGGATATGGTATTTTTGTTTTAAAGTTAATGCTAATAGAAGAAAATTTGTTACTTTTTTTATTGCAATATTGACACCACTTTTAAACGTTTGAAGGAATATTTGAACCCCGTTTCATTAAAATAAGAAGAATCAAATAACACTCATACTAGTAATAAAAAATAATATAAATAAAATCATTTAAAATGTTGTGTGGTATTCCTCGAAGCAATTTAGATCTATACATAAAGCAACATTACATGCTTTGCATATTACTGTCGATCGTCTATATGTCCCTTTTTTAGAACAGTTAACGCATCTTCTTCTAGTGTTTTCTTTTCTTGGCCAATGATTATTTTCAGGCATTAACCGAGGTTTTTTTGATGTTGATGGAGATAATGTAAGACAATTCAGTACGTTTTCGTGAAGTAGACCTCTGATTAGATTTATCCTGAACTCTTTGTGGGACTCTTTCAATTCTGATACTAAATATGCATTAAGAACCGAGAGATCCAGAAAATGAAAAAAAAGTTTTTTTGTCCACTTCAGTGTCCTTCGATTGAATGAGTAGCTGTTTGCCATTCTGTCACTTTTGTCAACATATCCCATGTGTTTGTTGTAGGATTTGACGATTTCTGGTTTTTCACTAGAAACTTTGTTTTCTATCGGAGAATGTATATTGGAAAGCATAAGAACGTCTCTCTTATCCTTCCAACATACAGCAACGAGGCCATTTCCCCATAAACAATTGGTTTCGCCTGCTTTTAATTTCTTTTTCCCCAATTCTTTAGGGAAATCTTTTCTGTTTACTCGTACAGTTCCACAGGAATTAATTTTTTTATTCTCAAGAAGATCGCANTTGTCCATATATAATTTATGACCTTTCCCCTGGATGGTGTTTGCCATATTATAAACAACATTGTAGGAAGCAGATAGATGTGGTTTATCTTTCTGTTTATCTTTTCCAAGATATACTTGCATATCGTAGGTATAGCCTCTTCTATCGGCTACTTTGTAAACTTTAATGCCCCATTGCTTTCTTTTTTTCGGTATGTATTGCCGAAAAATGACCCTACCTTTGAATTTTATAATCACTTCATCTATAGATAGCTCCTCTGTAGGATCATACACTTCCTTGAATGATTCATTTAATTTGTTAAAAACACTTCTAATTTTCCACAATCGATCATAATTCTCGTCTTTCGAGCTCAATTTTTCCTCATTATTTGAGAAATGAAGAAATTTCAAAATCTGAAGGAATCGGTCTCGTGGCATAGTTTTCCCAAATATGGGAGATTCAAAAAGATCATCTTTGGACCAATAATCAGAAACATTATCTTTATCAATGTGACCCATTAATAGTATCAATCCAAGAAATTTTAAAATTTCTTTGGGTGAAACTGGAATCCATTCAATGTAGTGTTTCCTTTTCTCGGATGTTTCTAACTTCAGAGATAATAGTTGGTTTGCGTATCGATTTGTTTCCTCGCATAATAATTTGATTAAATCGTTCGAAAAAAAAAGCTTAAAAAAATCAGTTTCTTTTTCTAAGTGTTGGAATTTGGGTTTTATTCCTACCCTTCCTGTGAAATTTAGAGGAACAATTTTGTCATTGGCTGTAGGAATTTCCCAATCGTATTGACGTTCCGCCTCTTCAATTTCATTAATGCTATCGTTTATATCATCATTTTTTTCATTTTCTAAACCTTCATCTTCCATTACCCGAATGTCATTACCATCTTCATTTTCACATTCTGAGTCAGAATCATCGTAGCATTCAGCATCAAGCTGATCCATCAAAACTTGTATTTCGGCATCTGTTAATCCTCTCTTACGAGGCATGTTTAAGAATAAACTAGATTTAAAAAATAAAAATAAAAATGACTTCAATAATGGAAAGAAAAAAATCACAATCTCACAAGATAAAAAAATATATAATGAGTTCTGAAATGAACTCAAAATAAAAGTGAAGACAACGTTAAAATTTTCCACTTCAAAAAATATTGGGCTTCTCAAAGAGCACAGGAGAATAAAAAGTACCAACAGAATAAAAAAAACAGCAAAAAGTTTACAGCCAATCAAATTTGTTCCATTTACTATGTTTCCACAACTCATGATTCACATAATAACTTTTCTGCGTTCCAAACACATGACAACTACCAAGAATAGACACAGTGTGAATGAATTTATCTTTAGACTACAATCCTTTTCATTGAGCCGCTTCTTTTTATATATACCGGCAACTCTATTCCCTTCTCAACCATTATCATTGGAGGTGGTCTTGTGTAGTAAAAATCTATATTGAACTCAATTTTCCATTCATATGTCAATTTTACAGACCTCCAAAGTCTCGTCTGGTGCGTTATCGTTTTTATTCTCAGACACGAAGGATTCTGCATAATTTCAAAATGCATCATACCTGACCAAATTTGATAATTAATAATTTTTAAAAGGAGAATTCAAGCATTTTAAGTATTCATTGATCTTCAGTTATTTATAACTGTATCTGTTCCTTTTCAATACACCATTAAGAACTTACACTCGTTCTTTCACTCTTTTTTTCTTAGGAATTCATTCAATTTACTGAAGTTGTACGAATAAAATAAACTCATAATCATATTTATGCTTGAATTTATATAAAATTATTTCTAATGAATTTGAATAGCTTTTTCCTGAATCATTTCTATGCCTAAAAATGGATAAGTGGTAAAAAAAGAAATGAATCATGTCTCCCCCGGGTAGAATATACTAAAAAGGGATATTTATAGTAATAATAATAGGATTTTAAATCCTTAAACCAGTGATTCTCAACCTTTTTTTTTGTGGCGGCACACTTTTAACGATTTCGAAATTTGACGGCACACAATGAAAAAAATTAGTTTAAAACTTGTTTACTTACCTATAATACACTGTGTTAAATAGTTTGTGATAATAATTTTGAATGTGAAATGAAATAATATGTCAATGTAATAATAAAGCAAAAGCACGTTTATTAAGGAAATAATTATTTCTTTCGATTAATTTTTTATTAGTTAGTAACTGTTATTTTTTTTGCTACTTATTAATTATTAGCTTGTTTTCTATAGTTATTATCTGTTAGTTTCTGTACATTAATTTTCCTTGTTTTGTGATTTCTTGTTAACTAGTGTTTTTGCTAATTATTAATTGTTAGCTTATTTTTTTATTAGTTATCTTTTGTTAGTTCGTTTTTATAACTGATTATTGCATATATATATATATACTCTTTATTTTAAACTTTACTCGTAATAGAAAAAAAAGCGTTGTAATATTTATTGTATCATTTCTAATATTTGGAGGCACATTTTAAGAAGTTGGCGGCACACAAAAGTGCCGCCGGACAGTGGTTGAGAATCACTGCCTTAAACTAATTAATTTTCCGACAAGTTCATAAACAATCTGTATTTGAAAAAGAGAGTTAGATTCAGTTTTGGCCATACGATTCCTAATTTTTTTTAATTATAATTTCTTTGAAAATAGTTTTTTTCCCTTTAGATCTGAAAAAGCGCTATTTAGTTTAGAAGAAATTTGTGTTTTCTTCTTTTTTAGGCATGAAAAGCTAAATACGTTTTAATTTTTAAACTATTTGGATCTCAGAGGAAGCTCATTTCAACTACAAAAACTAAATTAGTTAATATTTCTTAAATTTTTTAGCTCTAAAATAAAATATTATTGTATGAAATTTTGTATGAAATATTTCGCATGGAAAATATAAATTTTTCACTGAAAAATAATTGAAATTTTCATAAAGTTCCAAACACAAATGGGGAATAATATTATAAAATAAAGACTTAGAATCTAAAATAAAACAAAATAAATGAAAAAAAAATAATAAATAAAATATTAAATAATTTTATGAAATAGATCTCAAATGAAAATAGGTAATGAAATAATAGCACAGCTATCATAAAGACTACGAAAAGCTTATAAGCACTCAAAATTCGCCAAATAAAAGGAAAAAAACCTAAATATCTTTCAGCCAAGTCAAAGAAGACTGATATACTCATAGCTCCTTTCCCAACAAAAGGGTCTTTTAAAAGAGGAGTATGATGAAATGACAGGTTAATGGGTGGCCAAGCAAGTTCAGGGGAAGGAAACAGCCGGCACAACTGCTGTGCCGACGCCGTTGGTAGGGCAAATATTTTGAGCGGCACATATGCTGTGCCCGCCGATGGCAAAGGGTTAAGGCAGTGCATTGATTTACCTTTAGCGGTACCACTACGACGGTGATGATTTCTTGAGCCAAATTGTTACGGGCAATGAAACATGGGTGGCCTACGTCACACCAGAAATAAAGCAACAGTCCATGGAATAGCGGCATTCAGATTCACCCAGAAAAGTAAAGTTTAAGCAAACAATTTCTGCTCGGAAAATCAAGTGCACAGTTTTTTGGGACCAAAAGTGAGCATTGCTTGTGGAATTTCTGCCTCGTAATGAGACAATCAATGCAGCAGCTTATTGTGAGACATTGAACTATCTGCGCCGTACAATCCAGAACAAAAGACGTGGAAAGTTGAGGAAGGGCATCGTTTTGCTGCATGACAATGCCCGTCCGCATGTGGCTAATCAGACCAAAGATCTCATCACATCTTTTCAATGGGAAACTCCAGATCATCCTCCGCACGGCCCTGATCTGGCTCCCAGTGACTACCATGTGTTCCTGCACTTGAAGAAGCACCTTGGTGGTCAGCGTCTTCAAGACGATGACAAAGTCAAAACAGTTGTGATGCAGTGGTTAAGAAGTCAGGCGGCAGACTTCGATGAGGAGGGTATTCAAAAACTGGTATAACATTATGACAAGTGCCTCAATGTTGAAGGAAATTATGTAGAAAAGTGGCG